GGAAATACTTTGCCAAAGGAAAATTTTGTCGATTTCCCCTTATGAGGTTTCTTTAATATTTCTTTGAAAGTACGATTATATTTCGTTTGACGTTTCTACTGGACTACGTTTAAAGAACGCAATAATAATAAAACACAAGTGATTTTGTAAAAATGCTAACATAGCCCAGTCTTAAGTGCCAAAGCATATCTTACTAATATTATAAATGCGAATGTTTGGATGGATGTTCGTTAGAAGATATCTCTAGCACGGCCTCATGGATTTCACTAAAAATCATAGATGTAAAACATAGGATCACATAGGCTACTAATTAAGTTTTTTTTAGTTCTGAGTGGACAAACTCGTGAGCGACATATGATATACTGGCTATATAAATAAAGGAAAAGAAAAAATGGAGGTAAAATCTAGCTATCTCCATAATTATTTCTTATAATCTTGGCTTCTTAACTAGGTTTCCTTGTATTACAGGAGCCAATGACTTTTTTATAAGTTGAGTAATAATTTTATAATCTAAAATTATTAAATTTTAATATGGTCTTCGGATTGTTATACGTTTTCCTTGTAATCTGTACTCGTAAAGACCATTGCACAATTGTAATTTAATAAAGTTGGAATTTTTCCTCGTAGTGATTTTAAAGGGGAAAAATATAGTATTAAACTCGTAATTTTTGGATAGATGTTTGTTTGAAGGTAATCTCCATGTTCTAGCTAAAATTTGTAGTAACTAAAATAGCACAGTTTTTTTTTATTCCGCGCGGACGGAGTCGCGGCCGACAGCTAGTATCTGATCATGATTGCTAAAAATATGCAATTTATCTGCGGATACGTGAAGAGTGTACATTACAGTTCGTCTAGCTCTTTATTTTAACCGTCTGTAAGAAAATATTTTTTACTTTCCCTTCCCCTCGTTTTTCTTATAAGGAAAGGATGGGAAGTGGAAGTGGACTTTCCGAATGAGAGGATGTATGAAAAGTATTTACTTTCTGTGCATCCTCTCCTCCGTCGATTTAAAGGTAGGCAACGCATATGCAATTGCGTACGTCTATGGGCAACGATCACTTCGCTATTTCAGCGAACCTTAACCTTATGATATAAAAAAAAAACTTGTCTCTGTCAAAGACAATTTGAGGGAATCCTCTTAGTATTTATTCTTGGCTTATCGTCTAAAGTATATAATGTTCATTATATGCTTACATTTTAGAAAAATAATGTTAATTAGAAATAATATAAATACGTAGAACTTTCGTTACAGGCGTGGCAATAATGAAATTATATCAACACACGAGAATTCAGTTAGCTATGCGAGCAGACTCGAGGAAATTAAACAAATTCGAGGCTAACTTGTTAACAAGGAAATTAAAATTATATAATAATTAACATTATAAATATATTTTAAATAATAAACATGACTACGCTAACGTACTTTCGTCGATTATTAGTCATTGAGTCCTTGTTTATAGAACACCTTCAAACAAATACCCAATCTAAACATTCGCATTTATAATATTCGCAAGATTGATATACACATCATGAAGAATGTTCTGGAATATTAAAAATTTGGAAGGTAAATGAAGCTAGTAGATCAAACAGTTCACAATGGGCTCTATTCACTGAACTGTAAATTCCACTGGACAGGCTATAACCCATATTATTTTTTAACTGTGGTAGAGCCCGCTTTAACATCTTTGCACGAATCGGTCCGGCTCGCCCGGTGAAATACCACGACCAAACAGAAGGCAGGCGTGAAGTGAAAGCAATTCCGCGTTTCGTCTGATGAGTGTGTGTCCCGGAGGCCAAAATTAGTCCTCTTGCCCTTTCCACCCTTTTTCTTATAAGAAAAAGACGGGAAGTGGAAGTGGACTTTCCGGATGAGAGGATGCATGGAAAGGGAAAATATTTTCTTTCTGTGCATCCTCTCCTATATATATATAGATTTCTCGACACGACACGACTTAGAAGTGTAAAATACTATCAGACCTGCCTCTAAGTATGAAATTAATTTTTTATTATTAGTTTACAATCGACTGCACGTACTGAAAATGTTAGTACAACAAATTTACTTGGCCCGGTGAGAAAGGCTCTGTTATTACGGCTAGTTACTAAAATAAATATTGCAAAAACAAACTGAAAAGTACAGTAGTCTACGCTCTCAAGGCCTGTGTACTACTTTACTAGATGTATATTGCTCGTCCCTGCAGCCTTAATACCCTCCCGACCTCGGATTCTTAGTCACGTACAACCGCTATAAAAATTCCTTTACGCCTACAAGTCCTCCCGCAAGCAAATATCTCTGGTAAATACCTATTTGCGGTGCTCTCAAATACAACAAATATAATTTATACCTTCAGCCTTAAAGCTTAAGATTTAAAATCCCTAGTATTCATGAAGTGTAAGGATTTTGTTTATTAAGTGTGTAAGACTGTGCAAGGTCTTTAAATGTAAAAAAAATACTCTCAAAGTTGAAATATAAGTACGCTAAGTCTATACCATTGAGATATTCCACGTTTATTTTTTTCGATGACAAGCGTTGTCAATTTTTTTTTTTTTATATCATAAGGTGGCAAACGAGCGAGCGACCACCTGAAGTCGCTAAAATAGCGAAGTGAGTGTTGCCCATAGACATACGCAATTGCACATGCGATGCCTACCTTTAATCGACAGAGGAGAGGATGCACAGAAAGAAAAGATCTTCCCTTCCCATGCATCCTCTCATCCGGAAAGTCCACTTCCACTTTCCATCCTTTCCTTATGAGAAAAAGGGTGGGAGGGGAAAGAGAACTAAATTAGGCCTCCGCGACGCACACTCATCAAACGAAACGCGGAATTGCTTCCATTTCACGCCTGTCTTCTGTGTGGTCGTGGTATTTCACCGGGCGAGCCGGGCCGATTCGTGCGAAGATGTTAAAGCGGGCTCTACCACTGTTATCAGTGTCAAATCTCATTTTCATATTTTAGGGGTTCAACAACTGGGTTTTTGTACAACAAAAATTATAACTATGAAATGATCGTTCTAAGTAAGCATCGTAAATTTTCCATATTGCAGTTATTCGTTTGTGACAACCCTAATTTCACATTTATCACGAACAACCAAAACAAAGATATTACTGAATAGACATAGCATAGACCAACAAAGTTATCTAACTTAATATAGCTCACTAGCGCCCCTATTAATGTCAAAATTATCATAAAATCCTTGTCTTACTGTTGCTATCTGGTGATATTTTTATATAAATATTTAATAAATATTTATTTACATCCTTATTTCTATGAATACATAAACTCTTAAATCTATGATATAAAATTAAATTAAAAAAAACGAATAATTAACTAAAATATGTTAATAAAAGGAGTCCCTTTAGGCAAGGTCCCGAAGATACTGGCAGCGTTCCCCCTCTGTACAGCTAAACTAATTCTTTGACCGAGGTAGCTGCCAGCTCTTCGGTCCCCTGTGATGTCGATTAATTTTTTTGGAAATGTCCTTAAAAAGTCTTAAAGCGCTAGGACCCCACGGACCAAGGGTCTCGACGCCGAATGGGACAAAATGATATTCGGAGCCTAGACCCCTGTATTTGCATGCTTTTGCATTTTCAGCCGCTTCACAAGCCGCACCCGCTCTGTTGTATTACAGTATTTAATTATATATAAGTTCCCATGGCTAGTTTTAGACATTATTAATTAGAATCCTTTGGCGCGAATGGCGCGTTTTCATAACCAAGTCAAGTATCAGAATGATTAGTGAGGGGACATAAACATCGACATTTTAGTAAGGCCAGTGTTGCGCTAGTACACCGGAACAGTGTCGGATTTTGTTCCTAACACTAGGTAGGTTTTAACATATTTTTTGACAAAACTAACGGTATAACACCATTCAAATCGGGCCAGTACCTTGTTGAACTATAGCGGTAATATATCAAAACGATCTGTTGATACTTAAAAACTACACAAATACTATTATCTAAATTTTATCTCGGGACGTTGAGTGAAAAAGGCATTTTATCGCAAGCCATACATTTTTACGACGGAGGACAGCGGCAAAGGATTATCGATTTAAGCTTTGTAGCTCCGCGTCTTCTTCGCCTTGGGACTTAATAACTAAATAATCCTCTTATTTTATCCACCAATAGTAATCAAGACTTATCAATGATTTTTGTGTTTTTTTTATAAGAGAAAGGGGCAAACGAGCAGATGGATCACCGAGGTGATGATCGACGCCCGTGGACATCTGCAATATCAGAGGAACCGCAGATGCGTTGCCGTCGTTAGATTTTGTGCAACAAATCGACTCTAAGGAGTTGCTGAAATAGCAATGGTTATATAAACTTACTTAAGTATAAGAAAATATATTATTACGCTTTAACCAGGACAACGAAAAACAAAAAAACTAAAGAAGTGCTATTTCAATTCTTACCATAGTTTTATCAAACTGATATAAGAACAGTTAATCACTCACGTATATTCGTCCGGTGGCGGCACGGACTAGTTTCTCATCCTGATGAAGGGTCCCCGATGGGCTCGAAACTAGTCGGTGCCGCCATCGGACGAATATACGTGAGTGTTTAGCCCTTTTTATATCAGTTTAGTATAATGTCTCACGAAAGTTTGAATAATTTAATAGTTTTATCATTCAACAAGTATACTTTTGACCTTGCATGTCCTTGAATCAATAATATATACAAAAGTTCATATAAAACAGCCACAGTCACGTAAAAGAAGCACTGCATCTTGAATATAAATTAACTTCCTTATATATATAGAGTAATCCACATTAAATATTGTAATAATATATTTTTTTATCTTTGCTTGTATTTTTTTATTGTTTTATCGCTTGTTTGTATACTTAGGAATTAATTACAACTTTACAGTTGTAATTAATTCCTATTCCAATAAATAATATAATATTATAATAATAATAATCAGAACGAGACAAAGGATCAAAAAAAATCATCGTTTAATAATAAAATTACTTTTAATATTTATGTACAAGCTAAATTAAATTATAATAAACATACGTCTATCTAATTAAACACTGATGACTTTATTAACTTTTATAAAGTTATCAGATTTGTGCAGTCAGTGTACCAACATTTAGAACGCTGAATTTCGAATTTTTCATTTTTCGACTTCGATTACATTTCGTAATTTTTCGCTTAAACTATTCAATAAACGTAAAACTACGAGCCATCTTTTTTATCCGGCTGAATCATTCTATCAACATTTTCCTTAATATATTAAAGTACGTTAAAAAAATAATATCAAGGAAAAAACATCAATGTATAATCCGCCATTTTGAATTTTATAAAATGCTCAAGTTTGTTGTGATCGTTGTTAGCTCATTTACGTTCGGTTTGCGACATATTCACCAAAGAAAATTTGTTTTGATGTTCTCCTTTGAACCTGTAGTATTAGAAAAAAATTAATCATTGCATTACGTAAAATAATTAATAACATTTATGTTGATAACTGTATCAAATATCAACCACGCATGAAAAAAAAAACAATGGCATATGTTTTGGAAATTAATCGACCATTAAAAAATAGCGTTGTATCTGAAACGATATATTTTTGATTTGATACAGAACTGGGTTATAAAGTTATTCTTTGACAATATTTTAATAATAATACTCACTTTTTGTTTAACATACGTAAAACTCTTCTTTTGCAAACAAATATAACAAAGAAAGCAACTCCTATAAGTATATTATATGCGTCTGTTATGTACCAAAATTCAATATTCGGAAAATAGAAACTGACTATTTCCAATATAAAACTGATTCCCATAATTATTGATATCTTGAGGAAGACGAAAAACCTAAAATAAAGATAGAATAGATATACAGCTTAATATAAGATTAATGTAGCTACACATCTACACATACACATCTACGGAATATGCATATATATAATATATCGGTCGTATCGGTGAATGGACTGATAGCGAAGAGTTTCGACCAACATCTCAAGAAGCTCTTGCTAAACAGTTGGATTAAGGGCCCGATACAAAAAGTAGTTATCCTGGAAAGCGCACGCATCGTGAAAAGGTTCCTGTATCTGCAGCCCTGATCACTGGTTGTTTGAGTCGTGGGATTCCGCAGCCGGTGGTGCTATTTTTAATATATTTTGTTTAATTTTTTATTTTATATATGAAATGTAATTAAGAATAAGATTAATAAATGAATACGTTAACAAATAAGTTATAATAATTTTACTAAACTTTATTAAATATTGAATTTAAAAACAATATTGATAAATACATACATATTTCGACTATTTTTAGTCGCTGCGGAAGATTGCGATCGGAGCATATGATTGGAATTATTCGATCGGCATATATTGAACACAGTCATCAAATATAATATGCAGTTACATATTATTAATATTAACATCGGCACGTACAAATAAATTCCTTGCTCATATTCTGGAAATAAAACAGCATCTCTATTTTTCTTTTATATCATAAAGTGGCAAACGAGCAAACAGCTATCGGAATACGCTGAAATAGCGAAGTGATCGCTTACCATTAACATCTGCAATTGTAGATGCTCCCTGCCTTTAATCGACGGAGAAAGGGACGCACAGAAAAATGATATTAGTAAGATATAAAAAAGAAGTAACAATAGCAAATCCAAGGGCTGGCGCGCATTTCGGCCAAAGGTTGAGCCTGGCCATCCAACGGGGAAATGCCGCCAGCCTCTTGGGAACCCTACCGTGCGACCGCAGCGATTTGGGGTCGATTTTTTATATTATTTAGTTTTATTTTTAGTTTGGTTTAGTTTTAGTATATAGTTTATAGTATTATTTTGGTAGTTTAATTAATTAGTCATTTAATTACTGTAAGAATGTAAATATAATTTATTTTATTTTACAATAGTAAATTCGTCCCGGAGGACTAATTTTAGTCCTTTTTCCCTTCCCTTTTCTTATAAGGAAAGGATGGGAGGTAAGTGGACTTTTCTAATGAGAGTGAGATGCATCCCGCATGGGAAGGGAAAATATTGTCCTCCTCCGTCAATTAAAGATAGGGAACGCATATGCAATCATCAAATCAATGTCAATTAGCAACGGTCGCTTCGCTATTTCAGCGATTTGAGCTAGCCTAAAAAAAAGTAAATAGTCTCACCACCAAGGTAACATGAGAATTGTCCAATGCTGGGACTGATAGCGCCAGCTGGTGGATATTCATTCATTGTCACCATGAATATTGTCAAACCTAATGTCATTCCCCATCCGTAGACGCTATACATACAATACTTGAACGTCTCACCGCGACGATTTATCTTACGAGCCTTAACAATCCCTCTGTAATATAACTATATTTATTACTAGCTGTGCCCGCGACTTTGTCCGCGTGATATCTTTGGGTAGCATTTTCATTATTACACTACATATTCTACTAACACTTATAATACATAACAAAACCAGGATAATAGCACAAGTTAGGTACGATTCGAAAATTACAAAATCAATATTGACTCACCGAAACGTCCACCACAAATCGTATGACATTACATTCATCCAGAATGCAGTTCCCATGAAAAAGAAATATGTCAGAGTTGCTGGAAAAAAATATTAAAAATAAAAAAGAGCAAAGAGAGCTTAAACACCACGGAGCTCTTAAGCCATGGGCACATTTACGGGCCGGGACAGGCAGACTGCGATGGAATCAAAACATAACACAACGACGCAACGAGCAGCAGCGCCCCGCTTGTTCCTAATACCGTGCCCGCGGGATTATAAATAAATTTACTTACGGAGCACGATGCAGAATGAGACTGATATTGATGAATAGATTAAAAGTAAATTCAAAGTAGCCTGCACACTGTGAGCACCCACAAGACATGCAGCACAAGTCATAGCCACTTTACCACCGAGTGTGCGCAGCTCTGGAAACATCGCGTACACCGCAAGGAACAATATCAGAAAAATAGTTGATATCACAAAACCTGCAATTTGATGACAAAATGAGTTTCCACTGACGAAACATACGCACAAATATCTTTGTCTATTAAAAAAGAAATTAAGAAGAAATTACATCTAACATAAGTAATATTTTTTCCAATACAATATTAATCCTTATCTAATATTATTTTTGATAAATTAATATTAATATTATTAAATAAATGCGAATGTTTAGATGGATGGATGTTCGTATGAAGGCATTCTGCCAACGGCTGGACGGGTCCGCTGTAATTTGGCATAGATATAGAACGCAGTATGGAAGAACACATAGGCTAGTCATTAAGTTTTTTAATTCCGCGCGGATGGAGTTGCGACAGCTTGTTTGGAATATACACAAAAATAACCAGACAAGTTAAAGCCTAAACGGGTCGCTAGTAAGAGAAATATTAAATAATATTAACGAAGTTCACTTACATATGGAATTAAAAAGAATTTTTGTATTATCATTCCTAATTGTTTCTGTCCGCACAAAAGTTAGGATTGTTTCAAGAAAAGTTTCATCTAGTATATAATCAAAACAATAGCTTTCCTTAGCAATATAAATCCGTCGTGTAAAAGAATGCAGGTATTCTATTTCAACAAAGAGTTCTCCACTCTGTCAAAAAAAACATTAATTTTAATGGTTAAGGGTACGGATTTCTGATCACGAGGTCGGAGGTTCGAATCCAGCCATTCGACTATTGTCGTAAACCATATCCTAACACAAACTTAGAGTTTATTTGGGATGGTAAAATATTAGTAAATTTACAAAAAAATCTGCTAATATTTTTTCAATTAAAAAAAATCCCTTGTCCTTACGGTTGGTTGGCACAGTATGTACTACTCCTCCATACATCTATCAGCTGTCATATCTGAATCTTCCCCCTTCCTACACAATCCATCCATACTTTCTCATGTCTTTCTCTACCTTTGTAGCCATCAACTTTAAATTTACTCATGCATATACAAATAAATAGTATATTAAAACTAAACAAATACAGGGGTCTAGATTCCGAATATGATTTTGTCCCATTCGTCGTCGAGATCCTTGGTCCGCGCTTATGGCGCTTTAAGGCTTTTTAAGGAATTATCAAAAAAGTTAATCGACATCAGGGACCAAAGCGCTGGCAGCTACCTCGGACAAAGAATTAGTATAGCTATTCAAAGGGGGAACTCAGCATCTTCGGAACCTTGCCTAAAGGGACTCCATTTAATAATAGAGCCTGGATGACGGAGCTTTGCTCGGTATTTTTTTTTAATTGTGTTTTTTGGAAATTATATTTAAGTACGAATTACTAATAAAATGATGAAATATGAATAATATTTTTCGATCTTAGTCATAGAACAAGTTAAGTTTATGTTTAAGTTGATTATAGATAAAACACGAATAAAATGACATTTTCTAAAAATGATTCCTAGCTAGATCGATTTATCGCTCCCAAAACCCCCTATATACTAAATTTTATGAAAATCGTTGGAGCCGATTCCGAGATTCCAATTATATATGCAAGAATTGCTCATTTAAAGATATAAGATATTTAAGTTAATTATTCGTTTTTAATATTTTATATATATAAATTTATGTATATTAACTTACCTCTAATATATGAAAACTTTCACAGTGATATTCTTTATTATTTAAATCATTATCAAATATTTTTATTTGGAAGACATCTTCTATGGATTTAGTTGTCTCGTAGATATTTTGATCGTATACGTACGTCGAATTAATCAATCCACTGAATACATCTGTACAGCTGACGTTATTCCCATTAATTTCCAATCCTTCTTCCATTTTACAACATTTATAAATAATTGGTTTATTTTCTCCATTTTTTAATGTATTATCGTCACATAAAATCTGGGCGAAATAACTAGTTATATATATGAATAAAATCACTTTAAAAATTATATTATTTGCAGCGGACATTTTAAATAATACGTCAAACCCCCAACTGTATACGAAACTGATTAAAGAGGAAATATCGTAGCATAATTGTGACTAGTGTTAAAAAATTGTGGTCAGATATGTATGTATGGTGTATATAATCAAAATATACAATTGTAACATTTGTATTCAAATTGAAGATTTAGTTCGTTTAAAATTCGACTGTGTTCAAAATTAATGTATTCAACAGTCTCTCAAGAATGTGAACAGTTACAAATACCTGATTTGTATAACGTCACCCAAAACACAATAGACAATACACGATCTCTTCTTTTTATAAAAATTAAGAAACATTTATGAAATTATACGGCAGAATATCAGAAGCTTGAATGATTAAGACCTTTTTCTCCAAGTAAATTTAAAAACTTTTAAAGAAAAGATTACTATTAATAATGGCAGTTAATATAGAAACGAAATAAAAAAAAAAGAAATTGCGAAAACATTTTATTTTCCAAAAAAAACCATTAACAATTCCATTTCACATAATATTAAAAATAAAAAAATATTAAAAATGTCAATAACTATAATAAGCTGAAAACGAAAAAAATTAAAAATACATAGATTTGGCTCACGAGGTTACCGCCATGTGGCGTATGAAATCGACTACCATTATTCCGATAGTCGTATCGGTAAATGGACTGGAGGGAAGAGCTTCGACCAACATCTCAAGAAGCTCTCGCTAAACAGTTGGATTAAGGGCCCGATACAAAAGGCAGTTATCCTAGAAACCGCACGCATCGTGAGAAGGTTCCTGTCTCTGCAGCCCTGATCACTGGTTGTTTGAGTCATGGGACTCCGCAGCCGGCGGTGCTCTATTTTTAATATAATATTATATATTTTGTATATTTCTTTATTTTATATTTGTAAATATAATATATTAAGAATAAGATATATAAATGAATACGTTATAATCTCAATAATAATTTAATATCAAATAATAATATAATAATTACGTAATATTTATTTTGGTCACCAGTAATAATTAAACCCGTATCCTTATTTTGCGTTTAACACATTCAATGCCATTACGATTTACGATAATAATTATATTTTTTTATAAAAACGTATTATATTTAAAATAAGAAAATAAATGAATATATATTATAATTTTTTTTTTATTTCAGTCAAGTGGTACATAAAAAATCTGTTCTATCAACAAAGAGTAATGTAAACTCGCGGACCGAGTTTGTGGCAGTGAAAGTGTTAAAAATATCTCACACAATCTTAAATATGCTACTTTAAAAAAAAGGATTTTCACGTATTTTTTTATATAAAAATTTTGCTTGTTGACTTAAAAATTAAAAAAAAACACTGGAAATAATAATTATAAATAGTATAAAATATCACATTACAATCTCTTTATCGTCTCATTATGGTATATCACTACTGGAACATATGTATAAAAAATATATAATAAAAACTTTTTTGGGTGTTTCATGTTGGGCCGATTGGCCTACCGATCAATCGGCCCAATAGGAAATTTATATTTCCTTAATCGGCTTTATAGGGAAAAAATGCCATTAATCCGATTGCTAGGCAAAACAGCCTAAGGGGAAACACCCTTTTTCATACAATTTTTTTGACGGTAAATAATCACGGATATAAACGATATTTTTTATATTTAAAAGATTATTTTAAATTGGAATAATTTATAAAATCAACGATCGGTCTGCAACAATGAGGAGGCGAATATCTGCTGCAGGATGTGAGGCAGAGATGCCACCTCCATGCAGACGTGCGCGTGCCCCGCCGGCAGACGACGGAGTAACCTGCATTGTAGTGGGGGAACATATAAATATACCTCTTGCTCGTGACTTACGTCAGCTGGAATTAAAAAAAAATAGCCTAAGCTACATCCGTATACATCGGCTACCTTCCATTAAAGGAACACGTACATTGGCCCACAACGGATTTTAATTTGATTTTAACGGATTGAAACACAAAAAAAATCCGTTTAATCCGTACGGTACGGTGCGTCCGATTCGAACCAATGAACGGGTACTATAAGAATCTCGACAACATCAGTCTACCCTTTTCGGATATAACTCGGAACAAACATGGACTTCCAGACAGACGGACAATTAACACAAATAAATCACGTGTATGAATTATTTCGTATTAATCTTACTAATATTATAAATGCAAATGTTTGGATGGATGTTTATTTGAAGGTATCTCCAGAACGGCTGAATGGATCTTAATAAAATTTGGCATAGATGTAGAATAGACTGGAAGACGACATATGCTACTCATTAAGTTTTTTGTTTAATTCCGTAATGTCGGAGTCTGTATGGAATTAATCTAAGATCAATCAACAAAAAAGCACTTACGTATTCGCCTCGTCTCCCAAGCTACCTATGAATATAACGTGTGCCTGCACACGAGGGTCAGACGTCAGAATGGTGCCCAAAGACTCCGGCGGGATGCCGTATCTGAAATAAATTTACATTTGCTATCGAAGACACTAGAAAGAGATATAAAGAGAGAGAGAGAGAGATGTATATTTCTCACTCTCTATTTCTATTCAAACCGTTTTCAATTGCTTCGTTATTGTTTTAATTCGATGTTTAATAAGATTATCAATAAAAAAATTAGACGATTCTCTCTTTCTTTCCCTCTCTCTCTCTTTCTCTCTCTCTCTCTCTCTCTCTCAAATGGAGAAAAACAAGTAAATTTACTAAAATAAATTTACACTATGCTATTTAAATCACCACTAAGCGCTTATCTATCATTGTTAAAAAAATCTTTTGAAGGGACGAATGATAGATCGATCTTAAACACCAGAACTTAGTGCAGTGCCATAGAGAGTTGACTAAAAATGGATGATGATGAGAGAAATGAGGAGATGAGAGTTACCTTCTTAGATTAGCATCGGAGAGTATAATAACGATGGCTTCGTCAGCATCTTCAGTAGCCAGTGTTGATATGGCGTGCTTTGCGGCAGGCAGAGTGTTGTCACCAGACCAACAGAACTGGGAGTGCGCGTGCATCGTACGGATTATCTGGTACATACAAACAAATCGATTTTTTATATACATACAAGATAGTAAAACACCATGTTTTTATTTATAGAACGATGCTACGCTGTCACTAGCTATCGCCCGCGACTCCGTCCCGCGGAAATAAAACTTAATTAGTAACCTATATATTCTTCCAGACTATGTTCAATCCAGGCAGCTGTTCTGGAAATACTTTCTAACACACATCCATCCATATATACATCCAAACATTCACATTTATAATATTAGTAAAAAGTAAGATTTTTCTAACGCTAAGCACATTTGATTTTTTCTATATTTTAGTACCTGCAATCTCTCCTTCTCATTGTTAGGCGGTCGGTCAACTCTGACCAGCTCAAGTGCGCTGTCCTCGCCGGAGTGCGCGTACACATCGTACCTGATGCGCGCCTCGTAACCGCGTAACGCCTCCGTAACCAGCACCACCGCCTCCATCGAACGCTCAAGTCGACCGTCGTAAGAATTGAATCTAACCAAACAAGCAATGGAATGTTCTTAAACGTACATCGTCAGCTCACTATACGTCCCAACTGTAGGCTCGGAGCCTATCCTAAGTTAGGGGTGACTAGGATATAGTTAACCACGCTGGCCTAGTGTGGGTTGATTTATCACATATCCTTGAATTTCTTCTCAGATATGTGCAGGTTGCGTTACGATATTTTCCTTCATCGTAAGAACGTCGGATAAATGTACATATGTAAATCAAAAATCGAAAGACACATTGGTACATGGCGGCATTCGAACCCAGGACTTGCAGATTACATCAAGTCAACCGAGAGCATTGGTTTCTCAAGAGTATAAAATATTATATATTATTATTTAATTTAATAAAATTAACAAATAAAATATTAACCTATAATATTCCCATCCCTAAAATTTTATTAAAAATTAGATTGCATCTTTCTCGTAAGTTATATTAGGCTGTAGCTATCCGGCTAGAAGGGCCAACTTTTTTAATATGAAGAGCTACCTCTATAATTAGGCGTGTATATAAAAGAATCCTTAAGTCAATACCTGTACATACTGCCGGACACATCAAGTACCAGTCGGAGTCTCTTGGGCTTGTCCGGGGGAGAACCTGGCGGGGGCTCTTGTTCTACACGACGGCGATATATTGCCCGCTCTCCTGTCAGACCTGATCAACACGTATAGTCAAGGAAATTTATTTTGTACCCATTTCAATAACAACACTTTTGAGCTAAATATAGTATTACATGTTTTCCTGCCACCAATTACTAATATTATGAATACGAATGGATGGATGGATGAATGTTAGAAGGTATCTCCAGGATGGCTGGTTGAATCTCGCTGAAATTTGAACATAGTCTGGAAGAAAATATAGAGACCCGGCCGACAGCTAGTATGTACATACATGCTAATACGTACAGTACATATATGATTTTTGGTACATAAAAATATTAAACCAGCGGACTTACAAAAACACATAATTTGTTACTATGTGTTTTTTCACACTATGTTCTACATCTATGCCAAATTTCATGGAGGTCCATACAACCATTCTGGAGATATTTTCAAATAAACATTCATCCATCCATCCATCTAAAAGTTTGCTTTTAAAATATTATTAAGATAAGATCATTTTCTCCACTATATTTGATGAAGATTCAATGTTTTTACAATCAGAAGTAAAATAATTAATATAATTTTTTTTTCTGAACAGATCAGTGATCCAATTACAAAAAATATAATTTAGAAGCAAAACATATAATACCTTCTATAATCTTTCCATCGTCCAGATCTCCACTGGTCTGGTGTCGACTCCACTGCCTCTCCTTCTTCTTAGCTTGAAGCTCAGCCAACACTCCGCGGAGTGCACCGATCTAAACAAAAATATTGATAAAAAAACACACTTTTTCCTAAGAAAGTAATATTTGTGTGTGTGTGTGTGTGTGTGTGTGTGTGTGTTAGCATGTATGGATACAGTTTGTATGTATGTATGGAGATTGATGAGTGAGTAACCAGTC